ATCCTGCTTCGACTCTAACTCTGAAACTCCGAAGAAAACGTGAACGTGGCACGATTCGAGCTTTTGTACACCGCGTTACCAAGTCTCGCGACTTACCGGATCGAGTGAATTTCGTTTAGAGGAACTGTACTTACCTAACCTCTCTTTCTGTCTCTCTCTCTGCTAAGTAGAATCGACCACGTGTTTTTCTCTATTTCGTCTTTAGATTCGCGAAGCGGTTGCCATTTTTTTTTTTTCTTTATTTTTCGCTTTTAGATAAGATCGAGTAATAGCGAGTTTCCTTTCCCGTGAAAATTGCTCGCATCCGAATTTGCCATTGAAACGCAACTGTGCATCTCGACGTTTCCATCGTTAAGTAATATTTCATTTTTTCTGCATACGTTGGTACATCCTTTTCTTTTTTTTTTTATTCTAATGGTGATTTCTGTTGGTCGTATATACTTACAATAGTACATACACTCGTTAGGTACTTCTCTTACGTGAGTGCAACTGGTAAATTGAACAATTCCGATAGAATTTCCTTTTTTGCTGGAAAATCCTTCAAATTTGAAGGAATTACCGATGCGTTGTGTTGTAACTATTTTCGAGTACGTTTCTCTGTGTACAGGGTGGACAGAGAGTAAATTGATCGCGTTCATTATTTTCGTTACTGTCGGATCGATATAAATTCTTTTTTCTGTCGAATACCTTGATTTAGAAGGATCTACCAGTCGGCTACAGGTAGTTCCCGGTTTTACGAATTAATTGGTTCGTGAATCGGGAACTCGTAAAGCGGGATTCCCGGTACAATTTGAAATAAAAATTTCGATCGAAAAAATTCGTAAAGTGAGAACTATCTGGATATGTTTTGCAGATCACATTTTTCTTTTTTTTTTTTTCAATGTTATCAAGGTCACCTTTACTTTTTCAAATGGAACCGTATATAGTTTTTGTCGCCTATCTTTTAGCGGACAAAAATACAAATAGGTACTGTAAAATACTGTAAATACTGTGTACTGTAAAAAATAATACTATCATAACAATTTTTTTATAGGTGAAGTCGTTGAAGGGTATACGAAGGTCGTCTCCGTTTTTCTCTTATTTATTTTGCTAATAACAGCCCTTAAGACGAATTACAGAGACCTGTAACACATCAGTCAAGGTCACAGAAGGTTAATTACATAAACTTAGATAATTACAAGCCTGCAATTGCTCTTTTAACCCCTTGACGTATGATTTCTTTTCCTTACTCAGGTGTTTACTGTTTCAGTACTATATATTAAGTAAGAATAGCTAATTAATTAAATTTGGCAATCTTCAGCTTTGCAAACGAAATCTCGAATATTCCAGTTAAAATTCATTTTTCTTACTGATATAACTGTTTTTTCAGATCTTGACGAAAATCTGTGGCACAAGTCTGACCCGTTATTATTCAAGGGGTTAATGACGTAAAAATTTATCGAGACACATGTGACCTCGACTGACCTTGTGTTACAGGACTTTATATTCGTCTCTTAGGGGCTGCTACTAATAAAAAAATCAAGTATGACCTTCACATCTGTTCGACAAACTGATCTAAAAAAAAACAATTGTTGTAACCATACGATGACCGATTTCAGGATAAACAATTTTTATTCAAAAAATTTATATTTTACTTTCATCGTTCCGGAGATATTTATGGTGGTAATTTTTATTGGTCCCACCCTGTTTACTACCGACCAAAAGTTTGGGAACACTGTTCATTAGCTTTTGGCAAAATGGAATTTTTAAATTTGAAGTATGAAATTTACATATTTATCTAAAAATTGAGGTGTACTACAGAATAAAGAAATTATCGCATTGAAGTCTAGAATTTACATATTTATTTAAAAATCGGCGTATATTGCAGAATCAAGAAATTATTGCATTAAAGTATAAAATTTACAAACTTATTTAAAAATCGACGTATATTACGGAATCAAGAAATTACTTCGTTAAAGTCCAGAATTTGCATATTTATTTAAAAATCGACGTATATTACAAAATCAGGAAATTATGGCGTTAGAGTATGAAATTTACATATTTATTTAAAAATTGACGTATAATGCAAAATCGAGAAATTATCGCATTAAAATTTATTTCAAAATTGACACAAATTTACCGAAACCTTTCTTCTAAATTGGCAAATGGTCGAGAATCTTCGACTTCGCGACAGTTCTCAAAAATCGGTTAAACTCAACCGAATTAAATTCATAAATTTCCCAAAAAAAAAAAAAAAAAAAAAGAAACCGAACCTTTTCGCGCGATACAACCGAATAATCGTGAATTTCCTCCGCGGCAAAAATTACTCGCATCCGACGTGGCTATAGAGAAACACCGCGACACGTTACGATTTGCCGATGCCTAACTAGATAAATAATATTTTTCCGGTGTAACGACGCCTACGACACTTTTGTCCGCTCGTTTGATCGCCACAAGAGAAGTCGTCTGACGAATTCTCAATCGAACGAGGAGGTCGCCCGTGTTTTCTGATGCACTCCTCGCGCATTAATGCGCGTGGCCACACTTTCGAAATCATCCACATCCGTTTACAGGATCTTCGTGAATTTTCTCAACTCGTATCACCGAACACGATCTCAGCTCCTCGAATAATAACGTGTCTCGGCGGTTTTGTACGCGATAAACCACGGACGTGTTGTAAAATCACTAACCGTGCTCGAAAAAGCAGTTCGTATGCAGATAGAACAATTTCAACCTGATACCGAGGAACCCTCTTATTGAATTCAACGCACCGAAAATCCTGTGAAAAAGGGGCGCCTTGACTGCTGTTTCGCTTCGCTTTCTCACCGTTAACCCTTTCCCCGCCAATGGCACGCGTATCATGTCCCACTTGAGTGCTCGAACAGAAGTTCTTCTTATTTTTGTAGTATTCGTTAGAGATGTAGAATGATCGGTGGATAAATAAGTGGCTGTTGAAGAAGTAATTCTGTCAGGAAAGGGTTGATCGCTTAACGCCTCGTACACGCGCACAGGTAATCGTCTAGTTAATGCAGTTTCGTTTAATTAGTTAAGTACGGCAGAAACGTGAGTTACAATGTTATAGATACAGTGGATTCCGGTTAATTGGGACGCCGGTTAACCCTAGAGCGGTCCTCGTTTTGACTGTACACTTAAGACTTTTGGGTGAACAAAGGACCTAAGACCTTATGTGTAATAATTTTTGTATCCAACGCGACATATGAACGTTTAAAATAATGTTAAGGAACGTAAACTTGATAACAGGAAAAATGACTAAAAATATAAAAAGGCGGCGGGTCGAAAAAGACCCGAAGACCGCTCTAGGGTTAAGCGGGACCGCCGTTTATTTGGGACAGATATTGAAGAACGGAATATGAATGCATTACATAATATGTGTGTTTATTTACTTATTTTTTCATTACTTATTAATGTTATTTTATTACTTATCGTTAGCTTTGTTTGCACGCTTAAACGCACATTTGCATTCGAGACCGAATATTACATACGTTTTTTAATTAATCATTTTTGGCTTCATTTTTTACGGTATTCAGATTTTGCCTGCTGAAATTCGCTTTTTTGGGACAAATCAGTCCGGTCTCAGTGTGTCCCAATTAACCGGGATCCACTGTTGTAGGAAGTTTATTTCTATACACTTAGGAAATAATTTAAGAAAATAATAATATTGAACATTCTTGGCACAAGAGTTGAGAGAAATGTGAGTTAAAGTTAGACGTTCGAAATAATGGCAAACTTATTTCTATATGGCTAAGAAATAATTTAAAAAACAAAAAGTAAAATTGAACATTTTTGGCACACCGAGTTGAGAAAAATGTTAGTCAAAGGATTATCCGAAATGAATTATCTTTTTTCGCGGAAATTACGTGTGTTACGTTGTACGAGGTCTGTTCGAAAAGTAACCGAACTTTTTTAATTACGTGTCTATGGACCGTCGTAGCGACGAGCGGTTGGCAGCACTGCAATTGTCATAACCTTCCGCGTAACTGACTTTTTACAAATTGTTTACATCTCGTTTAATTTCCGAGTTATTGGCTATTTGAGTGCAACGTGTTTCAGCGTTCGTGGCGATTTTCGCAATGTCCGATTTACGAGAGCAACGATGCAACGTGAAATTTTGCGTGAAACTGGGGAAAACATTCACGGGGGACGAGAGTTGGGTTTACGGATACGACATTGAGACGAAAGTCCACTCAAACACAGTGGGTTGGCAAAGGATCTCCACGCCCCAAAAAAGCACAAGTTCGATCCTCTGTCAAGGTGATGCTCACCGGTATTTCTTTCGATTTCAACGGAGTTGTGCATTTTGAATTTTTCCCTCAAGGTCGAACAGTCAACGGTCAGTACTATGAAGGCGTTTTGAAAAGGTTGCGCGAAAAAATTCGCAAAAAGAGACCACAGTTGTGGCGAGAGAACTCATGGTTCCTTCACCGTGACAATGCGCCTGCCCACTCAGCCTTGTTAATTCGCCAGTTCTGTGCCAAAAATCAGATGACTGTCCTCCCCCAGCCTCCCGGACCTTGCTCCCTGCGACCTTTTCTTCTTTCCAAAATTAAAATCAGTGCTGAAAGGACGCCGTTTCGACTCGATCGATGACATTAAGAACAATTCGTCACTGGCATTGAAGGACATTCGAAAAGAAGCTTTCCAGGACCGCATCGTAAAGTGGAAACACCGCTGGAACAAGTGTGTGAATAGAGGAGGGAAGTTCGTTGAAGGAGGCAAAGACCAATAAGTTGTATATTAAATAAAAAAGATAAAAAAAAAAAATAGTTCGGTTATTTTTTGAACAGACCTCGTAAGTAACGGCAAACTTATTTCTATATGCCTAGGAAGTACTTGAAAAGAAAGTAAAATCGAACATTTTTGGCCCGTCGAATGAAGAAAAATGTGAGTTAAAGGGTTAACCGAAAGGCTCCTTTAATTGTTCTCTTTTTCGTGGAAATTACGTAAAATTGTAATTTTACACGGGCATGTCAATAACTTCGATGTGATCTGTTTCGTTGCAGAATAACAGTAACCAGGATGACGATCCATCGAATAATCGTAATTCGAAGAGCCAGAATCAGGTGCCGCAGTTGCAAGAACAATTGGCACAAGCCACCATGAGGATACACGATTTGGAAGCGGAACTTAAACGCGTTCGGAAGGTAAACCATCCACGTCCTCTACTTTTATTTATTTTTTTTTTTTTTTCATGAATTACTCGGAACGAACGATATTTCAATAACACTTGAAACAATTGAAAATGTAGTGTATCGCGCGTTTATAACAGTTGAAGATTAAAATTGACGATAGGAGAGATAAGGATCGACGAGAGATAGTTTAATGCATTCCTCGGAAATCATTGGCGCCTAGATACGCGTAATATTTTCGTTGCCCCGTGTGCACCATTGTCTCTCCTCTGTCCCGCTAAACATACAAGGGATAATTACGACTGCAATTGTTTTCAGATAATTGCGTTTAATTTTAACCGTGGCATCGTCCACGACCGATTCACACACGCGTACACGTGACAGCACATGTCGTTACGCGTTATCTCTAATCAATATTGTATCACAGCCGTCTTATTGGTAGAAATGTATATGCATAACGTAATTAATTTGCCGTTAATGTCTCTTTTTCTTCTTTTCTAAATCGCGCGACCTGGACCTTCGATGTGTGACTTTCGGGGGGGGGAACGGTGCCCGGGTCATATCTGACCCAACTTAAGATTTCTTTGTTTATTCATCGGAGAATCGAGGTTTTTCGTCGGATTTTCGTCTAAACACATCAACACCTTATTTGCAGACACTGTGCTGATTAACTGCACTTAATACGGACAGTGAAAATGCACAGAAACGTTGTGTAAAATCGTACCTATTGTAATATAAGAAAGAGAGAAATAATAAAGCAAAAGGAATAAGAAATAAAAAAGAGTAAAGAAATAACACGTATTAATTAAATTTAACAGCATAACAACGTTTGATATTTATTTGACGCATTACTGATAAGGTGTTAAACTAAATAAAACAGAAAATGATATTATCGACGAAGGACCGGGTACCGTGTTGAGAGACTGATTACTTGTGGCTAATTTGTCCGATTACTTTTAGGCTAAATTATTCGGAAATTGTATTTTTTTAATTTTATGTCTAATTTTTTTATTTCAATATATACATATATACATTTCTGCATTTTCTGTATTCTTTGGCAACGCAAATTATTTTTATTTCTCAAAAGTGATCTTCAACGATAGCATGCTGAAATCGTCATAATATCGGCTATCACAGAACGATAAAAATAAAACTATAGCATC